AAATGCATAAAAAAGCCCAACAAAAAGATACACCCAATTCGAGCTGTGTGTCTTCTTTGTTGCCCGAGATTTTTCTTTTTTTTTCGTTGCGCGGCCGTTCTGAAGTTACTTACCATCACAGATTTCGCTTAAATAATGCGCTATTATGTCGCCTTTGGAGAGGCGTTGCATTCAATAAGCCGTTGTCGTTTCTCATCAGAAATAGCGGGCACGTGTGGAACGGAAGAGACCATTGAACATGTCATGTGCGTTAGAGACGTCCTGTGCACAGAATGTCCGGAACGCGTTCTGTGCAGAAGATACCCTTGAACACGTCCGGTTAACAGGTTCTGTCACGCGTCCTGTGCACTGATTTTTGTGAACATTATCTGTGCAGTGCCATACCGAGCTGCGCTCGCTGTAACACTGCATAGGAGGTGTACACGAATTGAGTTTCACTGAGTGTCATAGCGAGCGCCGCTCTCTACGGGACTCAGCGATATTCGCTGCGGATGCTTCTCAGTCAAGTGGACTAGAGAGGCATTTTCCCCAACCAAAGTTCTAGGGCCACGTCCATGTGCCTCGAAGGCCCAGAAGGCAACCAACAAGCTACTGAATTAGCTAAAGTTAATAGCTGTGTGTGACAACTGAATAAATACGCTGAAGGCTTAAGCACTTCAGTGGGCACAATGACTGAGAGATCTATATTAAGCCTGAAATCCTGCGTCCGCTACTATCGAACGTCGCAGTGTAGTTCGAGCTCACGTGCATTCTTTTTTGTATGTTCTCTTCTTTCGATCTCTCTATGTTTTGACCTCTTAATTCCCCAGCGAGAATAGCAAACCGTAAGCGCGCGTCTGCTTGACTTTGTCTTGTTGCTTAAAAATTTTTGGCTTCTGCCTTTGCTTCTTCTTCTTCCTCTATCTCTTCTCTCTGTTCACCCCACTTTTTTCAACTGTCTCTCTTTTAGCCCCTTCATCCATTTCCCCTATGCATTGTAGCACACCGTACGGGAATCTATAGTCTCCCCGCCTAATCTTTCTTCTGTTTCTTTCTTCTGTTTCTTTCACACTTTATTTCTCTCCGTCTGGTTTGAACGAAAAAAAAATGGCAGCATATCCACGGAGTGAATGATGAAGAGTGGGGCGAAGCATCCGTCCGTCCATCCGTTCTTGCTTTCGTCCATCCATGCGTACGTCTGTGTGACCATCCGTGCATCCATCCGCCCGTCCGCGCGTGCGTCTGTTCGTGCGTTCGCGCGTCCATCTGTGCATCCGTCCCTGTGTTCGTCCATGCATCCGCCCCTGCGTCCATCCATGCGTCCATCCGTCCGGCTTCGGTGAGTCCATCCATGCATTTGTATGTGTGTCCGTTCATCCACCTATTCAACACTCCAAGTACCACCATCTCGCATTTTTCATCATATATTCCCCATATAGAAGCACTACCATCTAGCGGACATTCCAAAGACTAAACGAGAGGTGGCACACGCACGCACACTTTCTTACGGCTTGCGCTTCGTGTCTACTTCCCAAATTTAACCACCTCAAGTTTATGGTATATACTAGTTCACTGTATTCATGGCACTGCGACTTAACGCTCGCTAAACCTTTCTAAAACCAAGGAGGTTACGCCCAGCGAGTATAACGTAGCAAACCTTTCTTGTCAGATAGTGCTCAATGTACATGCCAATGGCTGCTAATGGGGAATAAGAGACAGGAGAATTCGGCTTTTATTTAGCGCACACGCTGCGAATTTTTTATTGCGCAACAACGCACAGGAGAAATCTCCCACCGGCACCAACTTACAGGTCAAAACATAATACTAGTTACACACTATGACTACAACTACGACTACTACGAGGGACGAACGGGTGCCGCTTTAAGGAGCTTCGCCCCTAATAATGCTACCACTAATTGTGATGCAGGTTGCGCACCATTCGTTCTTGGTAGTCAGCGGTGGGCTGTCAGCGCGGTTCTCTCGTGTTTCAAGTGTAACGAATGACCACAATTACTGCCAGTCAGCTTTTAATGTGGAGCTAACGGTTTTCTCCAATTCAAAGACCTTAACTTCTCGTTAACGTGCCATTTCGGTGGCACTGTTGCGAAAGTATGGGAAATTCTTCCTGTCTGAGAAAACTCATTGAAGTACGCGATCTTAATTTGATGCTCTCCGGGAGAGTGCTACGAAATGAAATTAAAAAAAAACAAGTATTCACGTTATGTTGTAAGTACGTCAAAGTTAGTCTCAAGTTTGGCTCTCGCGCGAACTTGAACAAAATTTTTTAAAAAGAAGTGACTGCAAGTTTTTGTCCAATTATTCTCACTCTTTTGGGCGAAAGAAATATAAAAAGAAACCATCGACGCTGATTTTCTGCTGTAATAAAAAGCTTTTTCGCCAGTTCTATATTTAGACCAACTTAAGAAGAAAAAGCAGCCTAGCTCCGCTTAAAGAAAGGCGCCTCAGGAGACCGTTTGGGAGCAGCTTGAAAACGGCAAGCAGCAAAAAGATATTTTGGTCAACTTAGGTGAGTGTTTCCCTATTGGCACATCAACGCCCTTTTTACTTGCCTCGTTTAGCTGGCGATAAGAGATGTGAGCCATAAGAGTAATGTGATGGGGAGGGTGGTGACTTTGATCAAACACCGCGTAAAGACAGGAAAAATACGGGAATATTAGTCAGCTTCAACGGAAGAGATACACAATGGGCTCGAAATCTTCTCCAGGAAACTATTTGCAAGGCACCGCTAACCAGAAAAAACGTAATATCATTTTTCGCCTTAGATTGAGACGGCTGAGTATTGTACCTAAAAAGTGGAGCTGAAATATATATACATATATATATATATATATATATATATATATATATATATATATATATATATATATATATATATATATATATATATATATATATATTCTTCGAAAATGCAGCCGCCGCAGCCGGGATCCGATCCCGTGACCTGCGGGTCAGCAGCCGAGTACCTTAGCCACTAGACCACCGCAGTGGAGCTGTGAGAGAGAGAGATAGCGTGTGTGTGTGTGTGAGTGTGTGTGTGTGTGTGTGTGTGTGTGTGTGTGTGTGTGTGTGTGTGTGTGTGTGTGTGTGTGTGTGTGTGTGTGTGTGTGTGTGTGTGTGTGTGTGTGTGAAGAACAGTTTTTATCGCTGTCATTAGCTCTTGCTTTCACTTGAAGGTCGTTTCGTTGCTATGTTCGGACCTGATCAACACTGGGATATCCTAGAACCACGTACTGAATGAATCAAGCAAAGCGACCGAAATAATAAGATTCGTCAAACTTAATGACGTGTCCTCTGTAGCTGCTCGGGCCCATTTTGACGCTTTTTTACGTATCTGGCAAAACATTATTAGCGTTGGCGCTCAATTTGGCAATGCTGTACCACCGTTTGCTCATTTTCATCGCACGCTGGAGACAAAGCTTTGATTCCGGTGTAATTTAATCAATAATTAGCAATCAGTGGTACCACGAGCAGTATACTAAACTGTAATATTCAGCCGGAAGTGATCAGTTACTCATCTATCCCCTTCTTCACACGGACCAATTTAACCTGTTAGAATGTCCCTGATGACCCAATTGGCACCATAGCGTGCTGCACTTAAACATCCGTCTCTTTTGTTCATTCGTTCAGTAAATATGGCGGGATCTTATACCGGGCGCAAATTATGTTTCGAGTAAATCAGTATGATTCGCAAAGCAGTTAAAATTTCGACTGCGTATAAAGTCGTTTCTTTAGCCCATTTCGCAAAGGCACAGCTGAAACTTCTCTCTCGAAGCTATCTGAACCCTATTAAATTAATTAGCAAACGGTACGCCCAGTGTCACAATTCTATCTCCCACTCGTATAGCTCCTAATGCACAGTCACGTTCCACACAGCAAACACCGCATTCAGACATTTGGTCGTCTGCGCTTATACGACGTCCAAATAATATGTTTTCTATCAAAAATAAAGTGATATCCATATGCAAAGATGCATAAAACAGGAATGGCTGCCTAGTTTGATTATCCTTGCTGAGCTGTTTTTCATTTTTTTATTACCCAAACAATTAGTTTTGTTACGGAATACGCTCTATATGTGTCGCCCTCGTTATCTCTTATTCAGCGTTAATACACAGTGTATTTAAGGAGAGAAAATGGGAGGCACGTAAGAGTGTGTAGAAAACATAATTTTACGCGACGTGTGAAACCTAACGCATCACATACAAGTGCTGGATCACAGGCAGCACTAAAACTGCGGTGTACTTTTTTTTAAGGAGCACTGTCTCGCATGCAAACTGTCTCATTCACCAGATCCGTGTCAACGATTGTTGTAAGGAGCGAAGCATATAATGAAATGCACCCAACTTTTGACGACATTTAGTTCTGGTCGAGTAATAACACTATATATGCCAGGCTTTATATATCATGCTTAGAGCTGATGCGCAGTCAATGCTGTCTGTACTTCGTCCTGTATTTTGCTTTTACATGATCGCTTTTGCGTGAATTCATTCACCGAACATATGTGTTGTTGACAGTCCAAAAAATCTAGGTTAATTTATATCTAATACTTCCCAATGAAAAAAGTGAAATGACGCTAAATACAAGGCACCAATCCCGCTCAGATAGTGTCACGTGGCTGCACAGTAAATCATCTGTCATATATTTCTGTTTCTGTGGCACTACACGCAAAGTATTGCTTTCTACAAACTTCGTAAGCATCAAGCTTGTGACAGCGTCTTTTTGATCTCGCGGGCACTAAAAGAAACGAAAATTCATGACTCTTAATAAAGGCACGAATTATCAATGGCTGTCCAGAAAAGTTAAGTGCATGCGTATTCACGTCGCCACCCCTGGCAGTGTAGGATCTCGTTGAGCAGGTGGCCGTAAACTGTAATATGAATACATACCTGCTAATTGTCAATATTCGCTGTCATCGCACAACTGTCATCGCTCATTCACTACTAAAATTATAAAGAAATACATCCAAGATTGTGTTAAAGTATGTAGTTATTGTTGTAGCGTGACGTCACTTATCACTGCGCACCCAGTGCGCGCATTCCTGTGCGACCGATCACGTGGTTCTGCGCCTATATATGGTGCGTCTTCTAATAAACTTATCAGTTGCTTCTTGGTATGCTGTCTGCTGCTCACGTTATTACACTGGCGACGAGGATGGGATCCGCCCCCTTGTACTAGCTCAGTACGAAGCAGTATTGCGGGCGATCGGCGGTCGACAGCCATGGACCAGAAAACAACGGCAGCCATGGCCTGGGACGGTTGAACTCGGCGGCACTACCTTCGGCAAGAGGCAACGCAGTCGTCGGGGAAAGCAACCCGATAAGTATACTGCACTTTTACTGAACAATGGCGCGACTAGGCAAGCTAGACGAGTTCGACGAGAAGGATCAGAATTTTGAATCCTATCTGGAGCGTTTTGAGCACTTCGTCACCGCAAATGACATCAGAGAGGAAAAGAAGCTGGCAGTATTCTTGAGTGTGATAGGACCACGAACGTACGAGGTGCTCAAAAGTTTGGTAGTACCCGCTGTTCCTGGGGACAAGTCCTTTGAAGAGGTCACAGTGCTGTTGAAGAAACACTATAGCCCACAGTGCTCGGTCATTGCCGAACGTTGCAAATTTAACAAGCGAGCACAAGAAGAGCAGGAAAGCGTCGAGGACTTCATAGTGGCCTTAAAACAGTTAGCAAGGAAGTGCGATTTCGGTCAGTTTCTGCAAGACGCGCTGCGAGACAGAATAGTGGCAGGCATAAGACGCGAGGAAACGCGACTCGCCCTATTTGCTGAAGAAGATTTAACCTTCGAAAAGGCGTGCAAGATAGCCCAGGACCGAGAGCAGGCTGCGCGACAGACAGCGTTACTTCATGCAGAAGGCAAGGAAGCGGCTTTTTATGCAATGGCGATAAGAGGAAAAGGAAGCGAAAAGAAATCGAAGCTTCGGAAGCTCAAGGAAGCCAAGCGAGTTTGCGAAAGATGTGGCAAGGCGCATGCGGCTAGTGTTTGCTGGTATAAGAACGTCCAGTGTCACAGCTGTTCTCAAATCGGTCATCTACAGAAGATGTGTCCAAGTAATCGCAGAGAACTCAAGACTGCAAACGTGGTGGACTGCTCTGATAGTGACTCTGAATTAGATGTGTACCATGTTATCAATACCGTGCGTTCTGGGTATGAAGTGCAGCTAAACGTAGAAGGGCAAGACCTCTGCATGCAGATTGATACGGGAGCAGCTGTAACACTAATTCCTGAGAGTGTGAGGCTGAACGCATTTCCTCATGTCAAGTGCGAGCCATCTCGAGTCACCCTAAAAACATACACTGGGGAACCTGTTCCAGTAAAAGGGCAATGCAACGTTTCCGTTACGGTGGGAAAACAGTCTTTGCGGCTACCCGCTATTATCGTCAAGGATAACGGCAAGCAGCTACCATTGCTGATGGGGCGAAGTTGGCTTGAAGGGCTCGGGCTTGACTGGAAAAGCGTGTTTGCTATAAATGTAAGCGACTCTCACAAGGTAGAGGCGGTTAAAAAGAAGTTCCCAGGGGTGTTTTCTAAGCAACCTGGAAAAGTAAAAAACTATCAAGCAAGGATAGTTTTAAGCCAGAATTGTACGGCTATTTTTGGCAAGGCCAGAAACGTCCCATTTGCGCTTCGAGATAAAGTGGAAGGCGAGCTAGAAAGGCTAGAGAAAAGCGGTGTTATACGCCCCGTAAATCGGAGCGATTGGGCCACGCCAGTAGTCGTAATCCAAAAGAAAGATGGTTCACTGAGGCTGTGCGGGGACTACAAAGTCACCATTAATCCTGTTTTAAAGACCGACCACTACCCATTGCCTAGACCGGAAGATTTGTTCTCTGCCATAGCTGGCGGCAGAGTGTTTTGTGTGTTGGATCTTTCGGCCGCGTATCAGCAGATTCCGCTCACTGCCGAGTCCCGACCACTGCTAACTATTAATACGCACAGGGGGCTGTTCGAGTTCCAGCGCTTACCATTTGGGGTAGCCAGTGCGCCAGCCATTTTTCAGTCCTTCATGGATGAGGTGCTCAAAGGCATACCGCACGTGGGATGTTACATAGACGACGTCATTGTGTCGGGAAAAGACTTAGCCGACTGTCAAAAAACGTTGGAACTAGTCCTGCAGCGGCTGAGTGACTACAACGTGACACTGAAAGAGGAAAAGTGTCGGTTTTTTCAGAGCACTGTGACTTATCTCGGTCACACTGTGTGCGCTGAAGGTATATATCCTACAGAAGAAAAGATAAAGGCGATCACAGAAGCGCCAGAGCCCACTTGCCAAACAGAGCTAAAGGCTTATCTCGGCATGTTAACCTTTTATGCAAAGTTCTTAAGTAACCTTGCCTGCGTGGCAGAACCATTGTGCCGTCTGTTGCGCAAGGGCGAAAGGTGGTCGTGGACACGGGAGTGTAGCGAAGCATTTGCTTCTACGAAACTGTTACTTGTCAAGAGTAATGTGCTCACTTTTTACGATGTGGCGAAACCAATGGCTATGACATGTGACGCTTCGTCGTATGGATTGGGGGCTGTCATTTTTCATGAGACCGCAGAGGGACACGAAAGGCCAGTGGCATTTGCTTCTAGAACACTTACAGCCGCAGAGAAAAACTATGCTCAGTGCGAACGCGAAGCATTAGCACTGATGTTTGGGTTAAGAAAATTCCACCGCTACTTGTATGGACGAGAGTTCACTCTTTATACAGATCATCAGCCATTGCTCGGAATATTAGGCCACGACAAGCCGGTGCCTGCGCTTGCTGCAGCTCGAATGCAAAGATGGGCAATTACCCTGGCAGCGTACCAGTATAAACTAAAATACCGAAAGGGAAGAAATGTTGAAGTGGCTGACGCTCTGTCCCGGCTTCCACGGCCTATTGTAGCGGCCGATGAACCTTCCGAGTGTCTCTTGCTATTTGACAGCATGCCCCTCAAAGCGGATGACGTAGCGCGAGCCACACGACGTGATCCCACCTTGTCTCGCGTGACGCACTTCATCTTAAATGGATGGCCTTCAGAGTGCTCTGAAGCATTTAGACCATTTTATTCCCGGCGCGACGAGCTATCAGTAGAGCAAGAATGCATAACGTGGGATCAAGGGTGATCATACCTGATAAGCTCCAGCTACAGGTCTTGCAGCTATTGCATGAGGACCACCCGGGATCTAGTCGCATGAAAGCGTTAGCAAGAAGCTTTGTGTGGTGGCCTGGCCTCGACCTTTCGGTTGAGAGCTACGTTCGACAATGTCAGGTTTGTCAGGCCGTCCAAAAAGCTGCTTCACCGGTTCCTTTGCAACCATGGAATTATCCCACAAGGCCCTGGCAACGCGTGCACGTCGATTATGCGGTAAAGGGCTCTCAGGCGTTCTTGGTTCTCGTCGACGCGTTCTCTAAATGGATCGAGGTCTCGCCTATGTCATCCACTACTGCTAACAAAACCATTGAGAAGCTACGTAGTATGTTTGCCGCGTATGGTCTGCCAGAGGTACTGGTGAGTGATAATGGACCGCAGTTCATTTCCGAAGAGTTCGCGGCCTTCTTGAGTGTAAACGGTGTAAGGCATGTCAAGACACCTCCTTATCACGCGGCTTCTAACGGAGCGGCCGAGCGTTTAGTGCAGACTACCAAACAAGCACTGTCAAAGCATGTCTTGCAGGACAAAGCTAGCCACCACAAACATTCATTTCGGGAACGCTTGGACAGCTATCTAATGAGTTACAGGACTACTCCGCACAGTACCACTCGCCAGACCCCGGCAGAATTATTCTTGAAAAGACAGCCACGGGTAAAGCTGTCATTGCTAAAACCAGATTTCGAGCTCTCCATGCGGGAGCAGCAGCAACGTACCAAAGTGCAAAAGGACATGTCTAGGGGGGGTTCCGCGATGTTTTGCTGTGGGGGACGCTGTGTGGGTGAAGACTGTGCGAGGTGAAACAGTGTCGTGGGAAGATGGTGTCGTGACACAGGTTATCAGTCCCGTAACCTATCTGGTGAAAGTGTCGCAGGCGGTGCGATTTACGCATTCGGACCACATCAGAGCCCGCCACGGAAGCCAGGATTCTTCAAGTTATCCGCAGGCACAACCTGCTCCAACGGCATCCGTAGACACGACTCCACCGACGGTTCCGATGGCGTGTGGGCCAGTCGCCGGGTCGCCTCTCGTAAATCCACACGCAACCGACTCTGCGACGTCTCTCCTTCCGGCAACTGCATCGCCCACGGCCGGAGCAGCTGCCTCCGGCTCGCCGGACCAGCCCAGTGCCGACGACGCGCCACCTGCAGCCGAACTTCCAACTCGGCGTCGTAGTGCACGTGTACGACATGCCCCGAACAAATACCAGTCCAGTGACTTTCGGAAGTAATCTGAAGGGGAAGGAGTGTTGTAGCGTGACGTCACTTATCACTGCGCACCCAGTGCGCGCATTCCTGTGCGACCGATCACGTGGTTCTGCGCCTATATATGGTGCGTCTTCTAATAAACTTATCAGTTGCTTCTTGGTATGCTGTCTGCTGCTCACGTTATTACAGTTATCTCATGTCTGTTTTTTTATTATTATTATTATTATACCGTGTTCACACGATATGCTACGTGAAACAAGTTTAACTATATTCACTCATCAGATTGAGAACTTCATTGCTGGGTATGCAAAGAACACAGCAAATGTCTTTCGCAACACAGGGGAGAAAAAGAAAGTACAGAATTCATTTGGTATACGTGCTACCAACATGTGTTAGCAGCGAGGTAGAATTTCAATCCTTGTTGGAGGTACAGCTATTTTGAACTTGAAACGGCCTGTTGTTAATTGCTTGCAGAAAAATCGCATCTGACCTATTTTTTTATGAATTGTATTTCTTCAGAGTTAGCAGCTCCAATGTTGTTTCGTCTTTTTAGTCTTCAAAAGAGCTGTATTTATCCGAAGGAACCAACTCCAAGGGCTGCTAATGGAATCGGAATACTGTAGAAGACACTCACTCACGAAGAGAACTCGTCGTAAAGGTTTATATTTACTACCGCGCATCTTTCACTCGATCGAAAATTCGCAATTTACGCGTCCGACTTGGCGAGAAAAATATCCATCCGCATCTGACATTGCGTACACATAGACTTGATTCATGACCAACTTCCGCGGCCCACACAATGGCTTGATACCCGGTTCGATTTCACCACCGAATGAGCCTCCTGCTGCGGTCTCCTGTTCAAACTCACTAGCGTCTCTAGACGCGTCGTCTTCATCTCGTTCCCGTTTTCTAAGTGCTACAACTGACGCCGTATTTGATTACCCCCCATCCCCCCCCCCCCTTTTTTTTTTCGATGTATACATCCGTGTATCTTTTTTTAACGCCCAGAATGCGTCGCACTTTTGCCTCCCTTCTTTCCTTCGACGCTGTTCTAAAGGGTGGGCGGTATTGCTTTCTCATTTTACGACCCACTTGTCGGGCCCGTCGAGCTTTCTCATGGCTCCCCGTGCGTACGTTATTGACGACAGCGAGGAAAGGTTGTACGAGGCTTGTTACTCCGCCGGCGTCGTTGCACACTTGGGTCTTATCTCTTGGCGGCTCGCCGTAATCACGACATTAACGCCCACTGCTGAGGCTTATCTATTAAATATAGCTGCGTCTATTTTCGTGTGAGCTACTTTTGGCGACGAGAGCTAGCCCCTCAGCTCCTGTAGGTGTAGCTGGCTAGAGCGGAATATCATTGAGATCACCTCTCTCTCTCTCTCTCTCTCTCTCTCTCTCTCTCTCTCTCTCTGCCTCTTTTCTAGTGCGCATGTGCGCATGGAGCGCGTGATAAGAAGAATGGGATCAATACGAGGAGCAAGCAAATACAGGAAGATCTCAAAGATCCCCGTTCTTGCGTATTCGCAGGCGACGAAAATTCCTTTATGAAATATGAAAATTAGTTTTTGCAATATTATCGCAGGAACAAGGCTCGCAAATCGCTCATGTGGTCGTTCAGTGATTGAGCGCCATAAATACAATAAAACTATGTGCGGATGCGGGAGACCAGACACCGAGCCAAAAGCTTGTATACCTTCCTTTAACTTCGTGTTTTCGCCGTATTATAACGAGCATGAGATCGCGATTCATTTCCAGGTCGTGACTCAAGAACAGTGACAAAAGTTGAATTTCTGCACAATGATGAATTAATAAACTTGAATCCATATTTTCACCATAATTGTTATCCCTTAGCAATCCCCAGGATACCTATCATGCCCCGGTAACATTAGCTCCCACTTGAATGCGTGACGGAGGTGTGGCCTCAGACAATATAACAAGTGTGTATGTGCGGGCGTCCGAGTGATCGCTGCGAACTCACAGAAAATAAAGGGTGAAGACTAATAAGAATTCAATTTGGCCGATATCGAGATTAAGGCATAGAAAAAAAAATAACATGTTCCATTGCTATAAAGCGCCGTGAGCAGAACTTTTTATCAACATGAAGGCTATCTTTATTATTCACCGTATATGACTTTCCACGTTTTAATCAAACTCACCGAGTTCAACAATGGCAGGATTTTGCTGATTCACCAAACGCCACTGAAGAGGCTTACCTGCGTAGGAAAAAAAAAAGAGAAAACAGAAATGGTATTGGCACAGCACACAGTCATGAATTGATGGATTGATATGTGAGGTTTAACGTCCCAAAACGACTCTATGATTATGAGAGACGCCGTAGTGGAGGGTTCCGGAAATTTAGACCACCTGGGGTTCTTTAACGTGCACCCAAATCTGAGCACACGGGCCTACAACATTTCCGCCTCCATCGGAAATGCAGCCGCCGCAGCCGGGATTCGAACCCGCGCCCTGCTGGTCTGCAGCCGAGTACCTTAGCCACTAGACCACCACGGCGGGGCCCCAGTCATGAATTGACGATATCATCGAACTCACAGAGATAAATAAAGTACTCGAGGGTGCAAGACATGTAAGCAGGTCTAATGGATCATGCAACCTTATTTTCAGGATTTAATATAGTCAGAAAAATTACATGTTAACTGTTGTTGTGATAAAACGCCCGATTCGCTGAAGGCTGCTGCAGTATAGTCCTCTGTCACTTCTAAATCTGTGAACTTTATTTGTTTTCTCCTCTCCCATATTATCGAACCCCTCCTTTACGAAATTCACCTTCACATTAGTGAAGTACAGAACATTGTAAACAAATCAAGTAATCGTATGATGCTCTGAAACATGGCATACATTCTTAGTTCTCAGCCCACCTGCTGTCTTCTTTTTTTTAATTAAAAAAAACTGATCTTTGGCATAGCAAGCATACGTAAAAACGACAAAGGCTCATCACGCATAAATAAACAAGTTACACTCGTGCATAATGTTTAGCAATGATCGATGGAACGGTCCTCTTATCCACTCTTGTAAGTCCGGAGGGCGACCGGGATGGTGACCCATTATTCTAAGATGAAGAAGGCGCGCTTGCTCTAGGCTCGGGAACGACCAGAGCAAGTGTGTCACGTACACGGCAGTTATGGGAGCGTCACAAAAGGGGCAGGTTGTTCCATAGGCTACGTGGTACTGTTGCGGCCAGTTGGCGGTAACTGCCGGAGCCAGAGCAACCCCACCTCCAAGTCTCCGAAGCGCTACCTCCAGGCAGGTAAGCCCACCAGGGAGGTCAGAACCACACGCTGGTATGATTGCTCGTGTGGTGCGTCGGAGACATTCCTTTTGGCACAGCAGTTTACCGCAGTTGTCTTCGGGGAATAGTGGCAGTGGGTAAATTATAGCCGGAGAGCAAGTGGCAGAATCCGCCTCTAGCTGAGCAGACGTTGCCACTCGTGGAACCCATTCGATGCTTATAGTTGTGTCAATGTTCCTTGCCAGCTGATGAATGGCGTCTGAAAACGCCGTCGATCTGACCACACGGCGGATGTCGTGAATTGCTTCCGTACAATCGGTGCGAAGGGCAAGCTGAGAGTACTGGTTCATTTCAACGAAACGCCGCAATGCGTTTAGGCCATCCCGCATAACGGCGACTTCAGCGAGAAATGTCGGTGGTTCTGGCTCAGCTGCATCATCATCATCAGCAGCCTGACTACGTCCACTGGAGGACAAAGGCCTCTCCCATGTTCCGCCGGTTAACTCGGTCCTGTGCTTGCTGCTGCCAATTTATACCCGCAAACTTCTTAATCTCACCTGCCACCTAACCTTCTGTCTCCCCCTAACCCGGTTCCCTTCTCTGGGAATCCAGTTAGTTACCCTTAACGACCAGCGGTTAACCTGTCTACGCGCAGAAACTTGGAGACTTGCAAAGAGGGTTCAGCTTAAATTGAGGACGACGCAGCGAACAATGGAAAGAAAAATGGTAGGTGTAACCTTAAGAGACAAGAATAGATCAGAGTGGATTAGCAAACAAACGGGAGTTGAGGATATCATAGTTGAAATTAGCTGCATACGTGCATGTTTGTCCTGCCTGTGGTAGTTGGGGGCACACCGAGGCGGTAGGAACAATGGCATTGGTGATACTGGCATTGACATATCCTACAAGGGTATCCGGTGTGTTGTCGGTGCGATGAAGACGGGAGACCAACGCAGTCACCTGGCCAAGTGGCTTGTTGTCCGTGAGCTGTGTACGCTGCCATGGAACAGTAGTGGCCGTAACGGTCGGAATGGGAACTGTGCATCCCATGTATCGAGCTAACGCTGCGATGCTTGGAAATGTTGTCAGTTTCTGTGCACGGACTGAATGGCACTGATGTACCAATTCAACAATCGTGTTTAGTTGTGATTCTGCTTGTAGCGTCGGAATCATCATCATGCGCGGACGCCCAGTGATCGCACGCATAGCTTCATGTATAATACTTTCGAGACGTGCCCATTCTACTTTTGTTCGATGGTGGAACTGGGCCTGGTACACAAGGCGTGGTTGAAGAACAGCTTTGACAAAGTGGCGTGCCATTGTGGTGCGTGCGCCATGCGATTGTTTGTCTTCTTAATAGGAAGAGTTTTTCCAATTTGTTGGTATGCTGTGATTTTTATCAAAAAATCTAGAAAAGATTCCATACGATACTCAACGTTTCTTCGTAACGGCAGCAAACAGTCGTGAACAGCAAAAATTTATGATATCACAAATCGACCCATACAGAAGCACAGATTCTGAATTATAATAACACTATAGCTTCTTTTCATATAGGAAAGAGCCGCACATATTTAAACACAGTAAAATGTAGCGCGTTGACGTACGGTGGCATCTTTTTTAAAAGGCATACTTCCGAAGTACGCTACATTTATTGAAAAGGTTGCTTTGTCTTCACGATTGGAATTGAGTACTCGCAAGTGGCTGTATACATTCAATCC